AATTATAATTTCCGCGTAACTTAACCAGCCCAGGGAAAATGGAGGAAAATTAATACTGCCTTCATTTGCGGATTTTTGCCTATCTGATAACAGGAATTTAGGATAATTTTATGTCTCAATTCCGCGCTCAGATATTTCCTCATGATTTCAGCTGAGATAAAGGAGGTTAACACATAAAATGCTTGGGACAAGACATGCTTAAATGTTATTGAGAGAGGAGAGATGGGAATGTAACTATTTTAAATGAAGTAATTCGTATTTGCCGAAGTTTTTAGTCATTTTGCATCTAATATCCAATTTTCTGAATAAGAAACGCTAAAAAAACTTTCGTTAAATACCTTTAATTTTTCAAAAATGAGTTCCAATCATGGGTAGATGTTGAATGTCGGATTTTGACTTAGTCTTTGCTAGTTGTTGTAACTTTAATTCTTTTTGTATCAGTAAAATAGAATAGGAGAGATATATAAATGAAGTTGTACTCATAAGTGAATCGAAGGATAAAAAAATGATTCGCCGTCTGCGACTCACCTTTTCCAAAAGTGAAGTTAGTCAACAATGCAGTCCACGTTTTCTGTTTCTACCACGCGCGTATGACACAAGTTTTAAGTTGATCGCTAGCTCCAAGCAATGGATTAAGCTTCCCAAATCGACCTGTCGTTATGAACAAAACCTTACTATGAAAATAAATTTTTAAAAAATGCTTGCAGCTGTCAGTTCCATGTGGAAATTAATGCAAATGGCGCAAATGGATGTTATCCGCTTCGCTCGATGGAGAGAATTGGGTCTCTTAGGAATATCTTCACATGTTAACATACGGATTAGACACCGAAATTAGTCCTTTGACCAACATTGTAAAAATTTCGATTAATTCTTTTAGGTCCAATTGACGGCGAAAAACGCTAGGAAAAGCAGATACTTAGACGTTAAGTTGTATGTTTTTAATCCAAAAACTTTTGGATTAAGAACTCCCTATTATTTAACATAGTAAATGTTTTGTTCAAGAAAATAAAATTTAAGGATAATGATCTTGTTTCTTTCAAGCAGCTGAAGATGTTTTCTCGCCAAGTGTTTGTGATACCCACATTTGGAAACTCGGTAAATTTCATTTTCGTTTTATTTCAACTACACAGAAATAGGAGTTAAGGCTGAATATCAAATCTTATCATGGGGTGAAAGTCAAACTCAAGTTTATCATGCATTAAGTACAGTCATCTCCTACCTTCCAAGATCCAACGTTCTTTGGTGCCCAACACTAGACTTATTTAGCCAAACGCGTTTTCTTTTATTAGTCTGGTAGCTATGGTTACGATAGAAACTGTTGGTTTCAAGCCAAGATGAAAATTAATATTAGAAATGAATTTCCCTCTTCCTGTTTGGGCTCTTTGCACAAAAAGCTAAATTGGTAGAATAATAGGCGGTGAAGAATTTAACTTAGTACGGATTGACTGGAGTAATGTGTCTTGGACAATAAAATGTCATTATTAATTCATTGAAAGTGTCGCACGTCACGTTAGGTGCAAAGGCATTATAATTATAGATCGTCTTTGGTAATTCATGTCAAACAAACGCAGTGCAGGTGAATTTGAGAGAAGAAACGAGAGACTTTAATAAGAATTAAAGGTAAGTCCAGCGAAAATGGTTTTGAGACTCACACAAACATTGATAAAGAGGAAAATTTTGCACTTCGTACTCCTTAGCTCGATGAATTTTATTAAATTGATTACAGTGTGTATATAGTTAATCTATGCTAACTCAATTAGCATTGGTAATTAGTCCCTAGGGATTATGGATATAATAGATTGTTTTGTATCACTCCTTGTCACTTCACTTGAGGCCTTGGGCTGTGTACTGCTTGAAGCGTTCTATAACTTTTTTCGACTTATCAATCCGACATGGCGGAACAAGTTCCCCAAGCCGTTGCCGGTAGAGCGATAGCTCAAGTTGTTCAAAATCCTCAACCTGCTCAAGGCGAACCTGCCGTGGCGCAGCAAGCTCAGGACCAACTTATGGCACAACAAGCTCAGAATCAAGAGGTATGCATCTTTTTCTGTTTCGGATACCATGTGGTTGATTATATTTCAGTGGCTAATTTTTATCGGTAGAGTTTAGATTTGGTTTACTTTCTGTAGATGTGAAATTGTGTCAGGCCTGCGGGGCCGTGAAAGTTTTTTCTTTGCCTGCGGGGCCGTTAAAGTTACTTGCCTGCGAGGCCGTGAAAGTTTTCTTTGCTTGCGGGGCCGTGAAAGTTTTTTCTTTGCCTGCGAGGCCGTGAGAGTTTTCTTTGCCTGCGGGGCTGTGAAAGTTTTCTTTGCCTGCGGGGTTGTGAAAGTTTTCTTTGCCTGCGGGGCAGTGAAAGTTTTCTTTGTCTGCGTGGCCGTGAAAGTTTCTTTGCCTGCGGGGCTGTGCAGAAAGTTTTCCTTTGCCTGCGAGGCCGTTAAAGTTTTCGTCCCCTGTGGGGCCGTGTAGGAAGTTTTTTTTTCTTTTGCCTGAGAGGCCGTTTGGATTTATTTGCCTGCGTGGCCGTGGAAGTTTCCTTTGCTTAGGAGGCCGAGAAAATTTTCTTTGTCTTCGTAGCCGCGAAAGTTGCTTTGTCTGCGGGGCTGTTAAAGTTTTCTTTGTCTGCGGGGATCAAAGTTTTTTCTTTGCTTGCGAGGCCGTGAAAGTTTCTTTGTCTGCACTGTCATTTAAAAATTTTTTGTTTGTGCTTCTGGGGTCGAAAATAGTTTCGGTATTTTGCTTTTTGGAATGAAATGCTTTATGTTCACCTTCGGTTGTGGTAGTGTGATGCTGGCGCGCAAGAATAAATTTTTTCTCCTTTAGCCTTTTTTGTTTTTGTGGCTTGAATTTTACTTTGTAGCCCCTCGTTTAAGAAATTGCTTGCTGATGTAGAAAGTTCTGTTGCCGTGCTTTGCTTCGTTGGAGTGTGATGCCTGAGCATCAGTCGCCGTTCATTTGCTTGTGCAAGCTTACGTGTAGTAGCTTTTAGTTGTACAGTATGTAAAAAAAAAAAAAACGAAAGACTGCTCTGCCGTTGTGTGTTTTTAAAACATTTTTTGGCCTGTGAGGCTAGGAGCGTTCATCGTTATTGCTGGAAGTTTGAGGTTTTGATAATTAAATTTAATTTTTATTTAATTTAATCTAACTTAATGTAATGTAATATTTCATAACTTGTAATCTAATCGGTGTTGTTCTTTTTCAGCCTGTATTATACTGTGCTTGATCAGTTATGAGATTGAGTAATGAAAAGAAAGGAAATGAATGGATCAGTGATTTTTTTTTTTATCTTGCCTTTTGAATTCTGTTATATAGGAGGAGGGTGATCTTGCTCGTGTCTTAGAGAGACTTAAGAAGTTGGAAGATTCCCAAAAGAAATCTGTTGAATCAGTGTTGGAGGATTTACAGCACCTAATACGTTCTCCGTTGTTCCAGATGGACCAGGCAATTGATTACCTAGTGAATCTGAAGATTGTGGCCAAGGAAACAAAACACGCGAAAGCTGGATTTTATTCTGCAGTGCTAACAGCAATGCAAAATAAAATGTGGGCCTCAAACATGCAATTTAAGCGCTATCTTGAAGCCCTCTTAGGAGATAAGGAGGATGAAGTGGTACTCAAGCGGATTGCTAGATAGATAAAGCGATGCGAGTGCCTGGAGTTGGTGCAAATCGTTTCATGCCAAGGGGGAGAGGCAGGGATAGATCAGGTCCAGTGATTTCAGTGTGGCCTATATGGGCATTATCGGAGGTTCTGTTCCTCGCGTCCACAGCCAGGTCCTCAGTCTAAGAGGCCTCGCCTTTATAATCAAGGAGTTGAGGCACCTCAAAAACAATGAATGTATTGACAGGATTAAGGCGTTTTCCCAATGTTTTTTGATCAGTTTCCAGTATTTATGCCGTGTGTTTCTCGGCATTAAAGGCTCCCTTTTCATTGTGTCAATCGGTGTCTGTTGTTGTTTCAATTTTAATTCACTCTTGTAAGTTCTGGATCGGGGTAGAGTAGCTCCTGCTGGTTCATCACATATGGTGACCACCAGACGACCTGTTTTCAGGCGAATTGAGGCTGCTCCCTCCTGATCGGGAACCCCAGGTCTTCCCATGGGTGATCTCTCTTTTTGCCCTCTTTTCCTTAGATTTTGGGTGGTACTAAGCGTGAAGCTGCTGTGGATAACTTTTACGTTCAGACAACGGCAATTAAACCAAGAAACGAGACCCCATGGGTGGATATGACTGGGGTTCTCGTTCAGGGGGGTGCGGCTGTGTGTTGGGAAAGTGTTATCTCATCTGGTAAGGTTCCGGATCTGGGGACTTTACATTTAAGGGATCCGGATTCCTTTGTGGCAGGTGGTCTTCACCGTAATTCAGCCGCCTGGGAGCTGGTACTTGAGGGTCATCCGTTGAGGAACTGTATTCTAGATTGGATTAGAAATAAAGTCGACATCTTAAGTTTTTCAAGACCTTTTGCGGGAGTTTTCAAGAGAGCTAAATATTCGTCTACTGTTCCACCTAAGAAGATTTTCCCGAATCATGTAAGCCGTAAAATTTTACGGAATTTATATCCAAGGAGATTCGGAATCGTGTTTTAACCGGCGCTGTTAGAGTCTGGGGGGTAGTGGGTGTCGATGATCCCCCCCATCTTGTGTTGCCACTCACGGTTGAGTTGAACCTACGAAGCCTCGACTTTGTATTGACGCGAGGTTTCTAAACCTTTGGATGAAAGATATGCCGTTTTCCCTGGATAAACTGAGTGAAGTGACTAGGTATGTTTACCCCGGATCGTTCATGACCAAGTGCGACGACAAGTCCGGGTATGATCACGTGATGTTGACAGAGTCCTCGCAATCATACTTTGGGTTTAGTTTTGGTGGCCTGTGATTTGTTTGTACGACTCTTCCGTTCGGATGGAAAATCTCCCCTTATGTTTATCATACCATTGGTCTGGCCGCCACAGGTTTCTTGAGAGCTCAAGGGATTCCTTGTTCTCTCTATATAGACGATCGCTTAAATGGAGAGCTTTTGCGACCGACTGGGTCTTGGTCCATATTACCAGCGGACAGATCTTTGCAGTTCAGGTTGCTGGCAGCTACAGGTGCCATATTCGTTGTCCTTTGTGTTGGTTGATCTCGGTTATACCATTGGTATCAAGAAGTCGGTTCTTGTGCCGGTCACATCCCTGGGGTATTTGGGTCTGATCGTGGATTCCGTTCGACAATCGTTTTTGGTGCCGCGCCGTAAGATTGAGTCCTGGGCCTTAATTAGGGAGAAAATTCTTGCCTGTAAGAAAACTCTTTGGATCAAAACTTTACAACGATTTCAGGGGAAATGCATATCTTTCTCTTTGGCTGTTCCAGCCGCGAAATTGTTCATTAGAGAAATGAGTAGAGCGATCGCTTCTAGCTTGGATGATGGGCAAGTGTCTATGACCGACGCTTTGAGGGAGGAAATTTCGCATTGGCGTTACCTTGACGACTGGAAGGACACTCTTCCGTGGAGAGACGAGAAGCATGTGCGTATTGCGATTTCTACCGATGCGTCCGGTTATGGGTGGGGTTGTGCAGTTCATTCACCTTCGGATGATCAGATTTTTCGAGATTATTGGAGTCAAGAGGAACTGTGTCTCGATATTTCTACAAAGAAAAATGTTAGCTTTGTTGTAGGCTATCAAAGCTCTTCCTGACGGAATTAAGGATTGCCGAATTGATGCTTCTATTGACAGTATGGCAGTATTAGGTGCGAGGCAGAGGTCTGGCAGTAGGAGATCCCCCCAGTTAACGTCAGCTACAAAACGACTTTATTTTGCTCTATCTTCTCGTAATGTTCAGTTGAACTTATCGTATGTACCATCTAAGGAAAATGTGGCCGGTTTTCCGTCTAGGACAATGCCACGTGTGGATTCCAAATTGTCAATTTCAGCTTTTGAGAGGGTCGATAAAGAGTTTGGTGGAGTTGAAGGTCATTCGTTTGACTTGATGTCTTTGGACTCAAATGTAATGAAGAACAAAGATGGGTTTTCCTTGCCGCATTTTACTCCTTTTCCAAGCCCAGACTCCAACGGTGTGAATGTCTTCAGTCAAGACTTGCGGGTTTTTCCGTCCATGTCCAATCCTTATGTCTGCCCGCCATTTTCTTTGATTGGTCCACTGTTGAAGTTTCTCTTGAGTTTTAAGATCCCGTTCACTATTGTGGTTCCAGAGTTTGTTCCTCATCGCTATTGGTGGGTTGAATTGAACGCAAGGTGTTCTGGGAAAATTTGTCTTGGTACACAGGGTGACTTGAGTGTTCTGCTATCCCCATCAAAGTCGGGTTATAGTCCAACACCTTGTCCCTTTTCTATGTGGGCGTTTCGCGTGTCTCGGTTCTAGATGTAGAGTCGGGCTCATTGTTTGTTTCGTTTTTGTTCGCTACAGACATTGCCTAGAGTTCCGAAGTTATTCACTCCCTGCGTTGCGTGCCCACGATGCTCACATCCGAACGATGAGGATTTCAATTTCTGTCAGAAATGTGGTTATGTTAGACGTGCTACAATCCAAGGACCACTAAAGAAATTGGATATTGATGAAGGTAGCATTGCCCAACGAGTACGCGAGTTGAATGAGCAACGTAGTTCGTCTCGTTATTCTAAACAGAAATCAGCTCTGGAATTGGAGTTTATAAATTTTCTGGGAAACTTGTCAGCCCCAATTCTTTGTCGTCAGCGCTTCCTTCGGATGTTATTGCGTTCCTTGTGTGGAAGGATGGAAAGGGAAGGACACGAGTTCATAGACAGGATTGTCACACCTGGGGAGGTAATGCGGGGCTAGATTGTGAGTGCCCTAAACGTTTGGCATTTGGGACTATAGATTCACTGATTGGCAAGTTGCGTGCTATATTTCCAGAGAGTGGTCGAGGCGCAGAATGGCAGTCTTTGTTAGGTGTAGGTAATCCAGCTTCTTGTAGGTCAGTTAAGAATTATTTGAGTAATGTGCGGGAAGAACAACTAAAGGCTAGGGTAACTCCACGCCAGGCAGAGCCTATCTTAGTGAATGATTTGTTGGTTATCTCTGAATTCATTAGAGCCCTTTTGTTGCATTCTTCGACTTTGCGCGCAATTCAGATTTTTATGTATGCCCGCGATCAGGCTTTATTTAAGGCATTATTTTTTGCTGGTGATAGAGCAGCTGATTTGTTACAAGTAAAAGTATCTGATGTTTTACGTTTCTCGGATAATTCTGGTTTGTTGTTCAATCATGTTTGGACAAAGTCTCTCAGGTCAGGTGACGCAAATGTGTTTGCCTTTAAGCGGGGATCTAATCCTTTGATTTGTCCTGTCCGGGGTTTGGAAATGTATTTTGATGTGTGTAAGCTGTTACGTATTAAACTTGCGCCAGGTTTCCTTTTTCGCTCTATTTCAAAATCTGGCGGAGTTTGTTTCAGCCATTTGGAGTCTTCGGCGGCTCAAGCGCGATTGAGTTTTTATGTTTCCGCGCTAGTTGGGAAGCGGGGCAGGATTGGGAAGCGGGGCAGGACTACAAACATCAGGATCATCTTGTAGGATTCTCCCAAGCTTTTTCATGAATTTATTTTATTGAAGTTTTGAACTATTATAATATAGGTTATTGTTAATGATTAGATATAGTATGTATTAAGTAAGGATTGGAAAGAGGATTAAAGAGTTCTTTGTGTTTCTTTTCTTAGGGTGTGTGTTCATTTCATATGAGTGTGGGTGTAGGCTTGGGAAGGCCAGAGCGATTCTCCATACCTTATTACCATCTCATGAATAACAATTCCTAGGGAGGAATATTACACTATGTTAATGAAACTGGAAAGAAATATGTTTTCTTTCTGTCATCCATAAATTTCTGAAACGTGTTGATTTTCCTTGTACGATTCTTTATCTTATTTTCTACAATCAGTTTATAAAATAATATAAAGATAAAATAATAAAGATTTGAACGGCTGCCCATGCACTAGAAGTGATTATCAACATTGTCTGTGTGCGTACAGCGTTTAAAGTCTGGTTAAACAGGTGTTCTTAGGCAATATTGCCTGATGCGTTATAGTTAAACAAACCCCTTAGAGACTGGGGCTCCACGTTGTGGTAGACCAAGCACACACCAAGGTAGGTGAGATCCAGATATAGAAACTACTTTCCTTAGTGTAGAGGCAGTAAAATCATTGTGTTTTCGCTAAAAAATTGGGCTGAAATGGCCGTGACCATAAGTTGCACTTGCTAGGCTTGAAATTTTGAGGACTATGTCACTCCAATCAATCTATTAATAAAGTTTTCATTGTGAGACATACTTTCTAGGGTTGTTTAGTGCGATTGTAAAGGAACTGTTTGCGTCCGTCCGCGATGACGGACGTTGGGTTATTTTTCCTTTCATCAAAATGCTCCATTCAAATCTCCTTTCTTCTTTTCTTCAAAAAACTTTTTCTTCATTAAAAACCTTGTTTCTGGCGCACAGCTGTTTTCAAACGAGGCGCTCATCGTTTTTAGAACCAGCATGTTTACCTGACATGAGGATCCTCCTTTGCAAAGGCGCCGAATTCGTGTAACTATGTTGATGATACAAGATATAATGATCAAAGCAATGATTTCTAGTTTTTGCGAGAGCATGTATTTGAGTTATTTTCGTTTTCAATCAAACGCGTGGCAAGAGAGGGTGTGATATTTTTTCTCTCACAAGTCTCACAATGAAGAAGGCGCGAGTTTTTTTAATTTATCTTTTGCAAAAAAAGCAGGTCCTGTTTAAAAGTAAGTTTCTCTCATTAAAAACTATCAGATTTTTACAGCGGATTTTAACAATCTTTGTTAAAAGTAAGGAGCTGTCAACAGCTTCTCCAAATTTTCGTAGAGGGCAGGCGCTGACGCACAGCTGTTTTCTAACGAAGCGCTTACTTTCTGGAACCAACAAGTCTACCTAAGAAGAGGATTCCTGTTTTACAAAAGCACAGAATTCTTGCAACGATGTTGATGACACAAGATGTACTGATCGAGGAAATTATCGCTAGTTTTTGAGAGGACATCTATTTTGAGTTATTCTCGTTTTCAGTCAAACGCGCGGCAAGACGAGAGTGTGATATTTTACTCACAAGTCTCACAATGGAGAAGTTACGAATTTTTTTGTTTTTCGTTTGTTCTATATTCTCTTTCGGAGAAAAAAAGCAGGTCTTGCTTGAGCTTACATAGTTTTACGACGGATTCAAACAGTCGTTATGAAAATTATAAAGCTATCAACAGTTTTCCCAAATATTCCCTTTGTAGAAAGCGGACGTTAGGACTTTATGTTTGTTCTCAGTCAGCCAAGGCGGCATTTAACGAATCAAGGGGTGTGATTTTTTTCGCGTGTTAAGTTTTTGCTGGGCTTATGCATTTACGCTATGGTAGGCAAATTATGGGAGGCGATTGCGCAGCGCTTTATGCAAACTAAGAAAATAGGATAACTTTCGTAGCGCGAAATTGGATTGCCCTAAAATTTGGTAAATGAATCTGACAGCATCAGCGATGTGATTGAATAGACGTAACCTGTTGAGCAAAAAAAAAAAAAGAAAGAAACTAGCAGAACATGACTATGCGAAAAAAATCTCACCTCCTGCTATCACACAAAAGGATGAATAGGTATCAATTTGATGTCGGTTTGTGTAAACACAAAAAAATTGTGGGAGGAGATTATTCAGTTTTTCTTGCTTACGAAGCGCGAAATTTATATATACTCGGATTGAACAGTCGAGCCGAATGGGAGAAATTGACGAGCGTGTGCGACTATTTCCACTCGCCATTGTTTTTTTAACTCCTTTCGTTGAATTGAAATACGGAAAGAGAAAGATACCCGTAAAACTACATGAAATAACGACGCGCGAGGCTTCGGACGTTATTACCAGGTTTAAATCATACGCTAGAGGAAGGAGAATATGAACCTTTTTGTGCACATCAGGAACAAAATCTCATTCACGCAGCGTGAAATTTAAATACCCGCACATTAAACAATCGAGCAAATGACGATAGTTTTCTACATGATTCAACGGCGTGGTAGGCTTCGGACGTTAATACCGGTTACACATGCTCTCAGCACTTTTGTATCGCACAGTGAGCCTCTAATTGAATATATCTTTCGCCAGTTTTAAGTAATATAAAGGAAAAAACGGTGACATTTCTTTACTTCAGATACGAAAGCTACAGTCGCCTCACCATCCACCCCACCGTGACTATTTGCATCCTAAAAAATCTACCATAATCACCCCCACGGGGAGGATTTGTCGTATCATCAGTTTTGCCGATGGTTTAAATCTGCCGCTCGTATGATAATCGGAAATTTGAAAAATCCCGCGTGTATTTTGAAGCTGTTTCCGCCATTGTTCCAAAGTAGCCATATACGGTCATTGTTAATCGTTAAACAAAGCCTGCTCAACTTTCAGCTGATCCGCTTTTCTTGATACGAATAACCGTATGCCGTAAAACGGCCAAAATTTTAGCCGTTAGCCGTAAAGATCATCACCTCATCGCGACCCTCTTTACCCCATTGATACCCTCTTTACCCCACTGAGACCCTCTTTACTCCATTGAGGCCCTCTTTACGCCATTAAGACCCTCTTTACCCCATTAATCACCCCGTTAATGATTGGTCATTGAGACCCTCTTTACCCCATTGAGACCCTCTTTATCTCATTGAGACCCTCTTTACCCCATTGAGACCCTCTTTACGCCATTGAGACCCTCTTTACCCCATTGAGACCCTCTTTACCCCATTGAGACCCTCTTTACGCCATTGAGACCCTCTTTACCCCATTGAGACCCTCTTTACGCCATTAACACCCTCTTTACCCCATTGAGACCCTCTTTACTCTTTTGAAACCGTCTGTAAAGTGAAAGGGCTTTTCAGGACGCTTCTGAGTGATATGCTGCTGAGGAATTTAAGCATTACATTATTGTTGTGTCATAACAATTATTTTTTAGACACTATTAGATGCAAAGAGAAAAAAGAAGTAAATATAGCATACAAAACAATTTTTATTTAGTTGCTTCAAACGATTACATTCTCTTAGTTGCTTTAATTTCATTACAGGTTAATTTCAAGTTTTGAAACTGCGCTCAGATTTTCAAAGATCATGAAATTTTGCTTCAAATTCAAACTTTATAGATTTTTATGTCTATGACTATCTATAATTAATATATCAACTCCACATTTAGCATTAAAATTTAAAAATTGTAGAACATTAAGAAAGATGTTTTTTCGTCTTGTGACGAGCGTGGGACAAAGAAAAAAAATTCTGAGTCCCCATGAGGAATCGAACCTCAGACCTTCGGATAATGTATATGTTGATAGACTAATGTACATTCCCCAGCTATGCGATAAGTGTCCAACGAAAATTCGTCTCTATCCTCCATTGTGCTTTATGAGACCATGAGTAGTCTTCTTGACTGTTCGTAGATCGTCTGCAACTGGCTATCATTCAGGTAACTGACTTCCGGCTTGTCTGAGCCATCTCTAAGCTCAGTTGCTCCTAGTATCATGATTCATTGCAGGTGACACGCAGACTCTACAGGAAACCCGTCCCAGTCTTCCTCTACTCTCACAGTGAGCCTGTCTAAGTCTATACTTGCTTCAAAAAACGCCAGCTCGTCTGAAGGCTGAAAAAAAAATCCAGTGTTGAACAAACTAGAATATTTTAAGGTAAGTCGCCATTTTACTGTGTTGGTGCATCATTATGGCCTCTTTGACGTCATGTGAGATGCTCCATAGAGTTGGAGTAGAGGAATAGGTTTCTAGTGTACGAATCTTTAAATATTCAAAAACGTTACCTTGTTTCTTTCTATCACTGCCCTCACTTTATCCGCCATGGTGGGCTCTTTAGTAAGAAGCACAAGAAAGCCTCCTCCTTCTGCACCCGTCAAAGTTTGTCCTATAATGAAGACATTTACAGAGGTGATGACTTCAGATCAATCCCCATCTCTCGGTATCACATCTCTTAGCTACAAAGAATACCTGGTTGGTATCTGTTCCAAGCCGTACCCTACTTTCGTTGCCAAAATATATCATTTGTCGCCATTATTCTCTTTCGAAAGTAAATGGAAGTGATTTTAAAGTGACGCTTTCAGCTTGCTGCCCTCGTAAGTCATTTAATTAATGCCTTAACTTTTTCATTAAAAGAATCCTTCCCCAGATTTGTGTGCCTCACAGTAGATATATCTTTTGTCTCTTATCTTGCTTTCTTATTCGCACAATTAGTCACGGGTCCTTGCTTTTCTTCCGTAACTTATACTTCGGACCGAGAAGACAAGGTTACTGAGAGGCATACTCATGTTTGTAGTGCATGATATTTTGGCATTTATAGCAACTGTTCAGTGGCATAAAAATGCCCTTAGTCTAATCATAATTCCACTGTTCACGATAGATTCTCAACGTATGTGTTGTTAATTATAGTCATTCACTGACCGAATACTAAAGGTTCTAGAGCTTTCATGATTTCGCTTATGCCTTTAGGTTCGGTTTCTGTTTGAGATTACGAAGCGCAAAGTTAGTTGAGTATTTTAAACTGGTTCATCTGAAGATTAATAAGCATAAGGTATATACCATATATCATCCCTAGATAAATTTGCGACTCTCTCTAAAGTTTTCTTTGCCATCACTCCAAATGCTTGTCTTTTTTAGGACGTTTACTAGCAGTAGAGTATATTAAATGATAAACCTGTAAAATTAGAGACGAGTCATAGAATGAGGGGTTTTTAATGCTTAGTTCACTAACTTGTCAGCGTGGAGTTGAGAAGCAAAAACCCATTTGTCACTGACGCTACATTTTTTACTCCAGATGAGCACAAAAATGGGCGCTATTTTTATACATTCACTCACCAGATGCCATGATACACTTCTGTTTCCTAGAGCAGTTCCTACACTCGCTGAGCTTTTCAATATTTCCTGGGGAAAAATGTCTCGTGATAAAACATCGCATTACAAGGATTTTTTTTCGACTGAAAACTTATCAAATAAAAAATAGCAACAGCAAAAAAAAAAAAAAAATGAAAATAAGAATCAGACGAAAAACCGGGGCAAAAACAGACATTTATTTGCACAAAGGATTTCGAAGATACTTTGCCGCAACTTAGGAACAGATAAGCCACTAATCCTTGAAAAGCACCAGGTATTTTCTACTAAACTGATTAGTCAAACCGATCTAATTCACTCTGTTTCATTTTGGAATAAGGGTCAATCTGCTAAATTATCAAACTCACAGGCTTTACTAAGTACGTTAAAAGGGTTTTACGGTGAGGAATCGGAGACACGTTAAACGCCTTATCCTACCTCCCCTCAAAGCTTTAGCAGCCTCTTCTGCATTTTTTACCAAATCATCCGTGTTTACAGTTTACAATTCCTAAAAACATCCTGAAAGACAAAATCCAAGCGTGCCTATTGTTTGTCTCGTGGGAAAAGACGAGCGATGAGGTAGCTATTGATTTAATTTTTGGATCTGGTTAAAAGGGTGGCATTTCCGCCGTTAAGACCAATCACGAAGAGAAATAAAGTAGTTTGCGTATCTAGTGGCGCACTCAATGAAAATGAAGGGAATATGGCCCTTACATTTATCCTTAAGGCGTACTTCTAAGTTCTTGACGTCTGTTAGCCACACTAAAGAACAGTGCAGACTCCTAAAAAACGTCGCTCTGGTATTTCTGCGATCTTCTTTTTTCAGAAGAAGAATTGGCATTGTCGATAATGAACCCGGCTGACTTGGAAACGGAATCTGACGCTGGATTGACCTCCCCTGAGAAAAAGCTGTTGCAGGGGATGATGCTCAAGAGAGTTGCTCGAAATCTGTCATTCATCACCGTGTACTCTATGGGGTTGTAGATTACAGAGGCTTTGGCGAGTATATCCGGGACTTCTGCCTCTGAAGGTGTTAACGTATTCGTACCCCGGATGGTGGCGATGATGCTGACCAGGCAATATGGCGACCAGCTTAACACGAAGGCGGCAATTGACATCGCAATCATGCGCACCATTTTGATCTGAGACTTTCTTCGACTGGCTTCTACTGAAGCATTTCCTGAGGTGGGTTGTTGAATGCGAATGAAGCTAGGATGGAAGAGAAAGTTGTAAGTCTGTGATTATGAATAGTATCCCATTAACACTGATAATTCAAATAATGATCATAAACGTAATAATAGTAATAAATAGAAGAATAATAATAATAACAATAATAACATATAACGAAGGAACCCCACTCGCTGAGGTGTTTTCCAGTGGGGTCCTAAGAAGAGGCCTCAGTGTGACTCTCAGCATTTTTCTCATTGTGGCAACTGTAGCAAAGCTATAGAGAATAATACATGGGCGCGCGCAGATATGAAATTTCTCTTCGAGCGTGTAACTCGATAGCTCACGAGTGAGTGAGGTAAACGGCCAAAATCGGCCAGTGGCAAATCTTCCAGTTGTCGATTTTCATTCTTAGCCAAGAGAAATGCTAACACCAAAGCCACTGAATACGCAACTTTCGGTTTTCTTTTAGTATATTGGTTTTCTTCCCCTTCTAGGAAAGTTTGAACCTCGTTGTCTGGCAGCGATACGGATTTTTTTGTGTTTTCGCCGTCACAATTCGAGAAAGCTCCGACAAACAACTTGTATTGAGAATCGTGAAGGCTTTGCTGTTCATTCATCAACCTTACTGAGTGAAAGCCATGTTCGAGAAGGGGTGGAATGCAAAAAAACATAACCTGGCGAAAACAAGAGCTAGTTCGAAAGTTAATTTTCTTGTTAAAATATCCATCGCTGGCCTCAAAAGAGGCCAAAACTTTTTCTTCCGATTTTAGGGCCACATTAATACAAATATTGATTAAAATATCGGATGGCGTTAGATAGATTATAACCCGTTCCTCCTCCAAGTATCCTAAATCAAATAAAACTGCTTTCTCTCGTAATACCATAGTCATCGGAGTCCTAATCGATTTTGCAATCTACAGAATATTGTAAATGAGATCTATTCGACTAGGAAAATTGTCATTTAAACTCTCGAGTTCTTTTCAATTGGCAGCAGAAAGCAGCATCAGCAAGCCCACCTGTAGATTCTGTACCGACCATATGCAGCTTATCCGACTTTCACGAACGTTAAGGCCAGAGGACGTATAGTTACTTGCGACGACCACAGGATAGCCAAAGACAATTATAATGATGTCAGCAATCGCTAAGTTTATCATGAGAGGAGTAATGTTTTTCTTTTTGTGTTCAGGGCAGCGTAAGACCAGGATTGTCAGAACATTGCCAACCGAACCGAATACCAAGATTAGGGTCATGACGATACCATATGGAATGAGGATGTTTGCACCCAGATAGAATTCTTGATCGCTGTTAATTGTTGTCGGAGTCGTGCTCAGAACTCCAGTTGACGGATTCATGACTTTCTTTGTCAAAGCTTTACGCGTTTGAATCGTAATCAGTTGTTAAACTTGCAACTTTCTGTTACGTTTATCAGTTCTGTAAAGGAATTTAAAACATTCTCATGTAAATAGATATAAAAAAAGATTATATCATTAAAAAATATCTTTAGTTCACTTGCCGTTTTGTAGCGATCTCGCACACTTCATGATATGCACAGCAATCTTCGTTTTGTAGGCATGCTGGGTTGTAATTACCTATTTGTGAGTGTACAACTAAGAGTTTTGTACTTTCCCCAAGTCATCGTGCGAAAAGGCTTAAGTACTGAGTTTGAACTTTGCATAGAAAATATTGTTTATCTTTGGTAGTAGTTTTTCATCATTTATGGAAACGAAGCTCTTTGTTTTTCAGTAGAGAAGAAAGGTTTAAAAAAACGGCGGCAAGATTTAAATTCTATCCGAAGAACTTAAAGGATCCTGGTCAACCACGCCCCTGTATTTGTTTATTTTCGGAAAAAGCACAATGACTTTCTTACGATAATCAACATCAAGGGAACATTAGTTGAGGTTCTCTTGTTTGCACAAAATTAATTTGATAGTGAATGAAACTAGAGACATAATAGAGGAAGCAAAGATGATTGAAGTCCCACGTAGGATACACTACTTAGGATGCAAGAGCACTGGAACCATCAAATGAAACATTAAGTCCAAAGACGATGGTACAAGAAATAACGGATACTCCGGTGTGTGAACGCAAAGCATCTTTTGATTAGATGCTTTAGTTCATAACACAAATTACGAACCACAAAGCACTTAGATTCAAATCCTTCCGACCGCGCCTTTTTATTATTTATTATGTTTATCAAGCGAACGAATGCGAAGCGGAGGCAAACACATTGGACGAGTCACGGACAGGAATTCCTGTGTTTGCCTCTGCCTTGCATTCGCAATAAATAATAATTTATAATAAATAATTAAAGAGCGCGGTCGGAAGGATTTTAATCTTAGTGCTTTGTGGTTCGTACTCATCGCGAAATAAACTAAAGCATCTAATCAAAAAATTATTTGCGTTCACGTACAGGAATATCCATTATTTTCTATACCATCGTCTTTGGACTTAATGATTTATATGCTGGTTCCAGCCCTCTTGCATCCTAACAAGTGTTGGAAAGGTTAACGAAAAACATGACACTTGCACGCACAGAGAAGAACATGCTCGTACACTTCTAAACACATCCGAACACGTCCAACATATTGCTAACCATCACATTCTTGTTAGCTTTATTGGAAAACCCCACGCGTATCAAAATAACAAAGCGTAGTTATTAAAACAAGGAATGACCTAAAAAAAAGAACTTAAGTGGCCTGTAATGACTTAAACTAAAAGGAATAACCTAAAATAATCTTGACTGACGTCTAAGATGGCCAAAAATGAAAATAACCTCGACTGATGTCTAAAAATTACCAAATATGACGTTCAAGCCTTACTAAAAAGATCCAAAATAGTAATTGGTAGTAGCACAATGATCTAAATTGCTCTAAGTGATCTAAAGTGGCATACTAAATATAACCGAGATAAAAAAGCTTTCAGTGATCTATGGCGAATTACACAACTGAGTGCTTACCTAAATAATACTGAAACGTAGAAAGGTGCCCTGAACAACTGGAGATTCCTGAGAAATTAAATTCCCGATAAATACCACGCGGTTTGGCTTTGTGCAAAGTGTCTACTTTTTCCCCAGCAACGCGGATTTGATCGGTGCGAAGTCCCAAGTTTCGCTTAAACAATGAGGTTTTGATTGGTGCAGCTATTTCATAAGGGAAGATACAAAATTATCTTTTATTTGTGCGCTTCCCTTGCTCGTGGTATGGTTTCCTGAACACTTCTAGTGCCAGGTACGTACGCTTGCAGATAAGGTTTTTAGCTCGCGCATTCAGTTCTGCCGTTCTGTTGTATATAGCTGGCAATTACTATTTTAAGTTGTTCTGATAAAATTTAAACGTCATTTTACGTCATTCTAGTCATCAAAGTGGATTGCTTTCGACCATTTTAGGTCAATACAGCTGTCAAGGTTATTTTAGGTCATTTTAGTTCATTTGAGACATCATTCAAGGCAGTTTTTGGTCATTCTTTGTTTTAGTAATTTCGAATATCAAAGAAGCACGTGCACAAGACGAGTGAACACTTCTCTCGCGTGGATGACTGTTTCTCGATGGAGCCTGGTGATATCTGGGCCTTGAACATGTAACAGTTAGTTTATTACTTAATGAGGTATGGAAAGAACTCTGCGAGTCTACTTCGTTCGGTGACGGTGTATTTTTGTCAGCAAGTGGTGTGTAAAGTGTCACCCTCCTGACGACATAAAATTCCGTCTAATTTCTATTATGATAGTGGACAGATAAAAAGTCTTAAAGAAATTTGTTCTTCCGATACGCGAAAATCGTTTCCTTGCAAAATGTTTTATTACATTTTATTGGTTGAAAGAGCGTGCTCTATCAGAGTACAAAGCATAGAGATGAGCTAAAGCCGTCACGCCATTTGCCTAATTGTACTATGTCCGACCTTTCCCGGGATTTCTCTCTGGCTTTTTTTCGTCACTTGAAAGTGAAATTTCGGAACAAGCGGGCCGACAAATAGCAACAGAAGAACCAAATAAAGGTTTGTAAACATGCCAAGCGCCGTAATTTACGTTATTATAACGTGAGAAGAGACTATTGCAGAATTTCTGCGATGGTTTGAACTTTGTTTGTTTTTAAACCTTGATGGTTTGACATTTTTAATAGGTTTAGTCTAGTTCAACCAATCAGATAATGTGAACCATTCTAACAAGGATTTTAATTGGCTACTTTTTCTCGTGCTGTAGATCGATCAATCGCTCAATCGACCGGCTGAATGCACATGGCAAAGTGTGAAAAATGTAGCCCATTTAAAATGAGAAGCTGACAAGTTCCTTGAAAAGCAACAGCTGCTCTATAGTACACAAGACATACAGATCGCGATGCTTCGATTGTAGTCAAGCTCCACCATATATTTTGTATCGTTTCACATACCGTTAAATGCTTCAACCACAGATGCAGCCTGTTGCAACAAAAAAATGTATTTTGTTTGTTTCTTTACTTAACACTGCAGGAGACAGTCTGATTTAGTTCCGTCCCCGCCCCCCTCCCTTTTTTATCGATGTTATTAGAAACTTGCAGTGCATATATCTATAGGCATATATATTCCCCTTTTTTATTATTATATTCCTTGAGATTATGTATTTACTCCATATATGGGTGACAATAAAGATGGACATTACTTATCCTTTTGTTTCTAAAAAGGGTATTTAGTCACATCGCCGACATATCAACTTGTCGACAACCAACACCTTTTATAGTCGACTCGGCAAGTTAATTAGTGGTTTCGGCGCGTTGACTAACAACATTGATGAGTTTGCTTATGATGACGGCGAGTTGACATGTCGACGAAGTGATCAGTTACTGTTATATTATCAAAGAAGCGGAGAAAAGCATAAGGACCCTTTTAGGTATTTGCTGCTCCAAGCTATAGAAACTTGGTGATAGGATTTCGTCGATCAAGCAGTAAATGTGTCGCAGCGGAAAACAGAACCTTGCAGTCTGAATACTTAAAACCGTCCACTTTAACGCTTGGGTTTGTAAAATTTCGTGTTGTATATGAAAACAAACAGAAATAAAAAAAAAATTCCCTCCATAGGTGGTTTGCAAATCGTTTTGAAAATCATGAAACTATACACGGGGAAAGGTGTTGTTTGAGAGATTCGCTTTTCATGAGAATTGGTAACAGGGAAAGTGTTTAAGAGAGGAATGTAGCAGGGAAAGTTAATGCTATGTGCTCAAACGATAAAGAAATATAAAAGGTGGATGTTGTGTTAGCAATTCCAGAAACTCAAAAGTTTGAATTGTTTGTTTTGGGTTTTTCCTTTCCAGGATTGATTCTTACAAGAGATTCCTTCTTGTTCATGCAATCGTAAACGCAACTCGCCCTGTTTTGGATAATTCTACATCGGTCTCCATCTTGTTCGTCATTTCTGTCAACTCAACTTCACACTATCGATATGGTACCGTTCGCTATCTCTCGCGTGATAGCCACGCGATCATACTCCGGAAAAATACAAGAGTGCCCATTAGTCTTGAAGACGAGTCAGCAAAGTTACCTTTTTAACACTTTGACGCGCGCAAAGAGTTTAAAGGCCGGTTAGCGCGAATAGAGTTTCTGCCGTATTTTAATAGTTTAGTTAGGGGTTAGTCACGAGAACTTGATTTTAACTATACTGTTTTTTCCCCTAAAGACTTCATAGATATAAAATCGCCAATTTGTGGAACAAAAGAGATAAACAAGGTGGCTTATAGAAAATGTTCTCTGAAGAAATCCAGTTGTTCAAGAATTTTTGATATCATTTCCCCTCCATTAGTTCAGTCTTAAGCGGATAAAGGGGAGGGGGGGAGTCTTACTTTAAAAAAAAAAAAATTTTTAACAGGATTTAAGGTATACCTTCACTCTTGAAATTCCCATCTTATAAAGCTGACCCTACTTACCTTGAAAACGGTGCCTTACTGGGTAAAGCATCCTCGTAATCTCTACATCCCCCCCGCCCCCGTCAAGCTCTTCGCCATTTTCGTCAATAGCTCGCCTAAGGTGCAGTACCTGAATCTCACATAAACAGATATGTAGAACGTACAAATGAAATGATACGTACGTTAGAGAAGAGCGTGACCTTGTACCTTTAACCAGAAGCAATTCCCTACACACCTGTACTGCGAGAGAGATTATTCGGATCATCACTTTTAGATGAGTGGTTCAAATAGAAAGACTATGCTAAAAACTCCTGCAAGTCTTCGTAAAGAAAGTTCCGCTTTTTCATTAGAAGAACAAGTTGAACCCATTGCCAAATCTTGAGATCATAGCATGGAAAGCTCTTGAACTTAAACAGTGTTATTTTGCCCTTTCCTCTCACGTGAGAGTGCTGCGTAGATTAATTGTTAAAAAATCTGTATTGCAT